ATGTATAGTATTTAAATATATGCCTGAGAAACACATAATATTGGCCCTTTAAAGGTAATATTTGAAGAACTAATTGACCCGCCGTAGGTGCATGTTTATTTTGCGGATTTTTTTCTGACAAAAATAATATTTAAAAACACGTCTACACAAATAATAAAAGTATTAAAATTACAACCGTTAGAAATTTTTTATTTTATATTGTCACATTTTTATTTAAAACATTATTTTCTCTCGCTTCGTCCGCCATTACTAGCATAAAAAAATCTCCAGTCGGGCCTCAATGCATTATGGGATATGGTGGACTGGGAAGGAGCCATCAGACCTGTCCTTCAATTCGGGCCAAAGGAAGGATGTTTTTGTCGGCCACATCGGAGGACTCTGGTTTTGGACGGCCTTTGTCGCGACGCTGTGACGTATGCGGCCGACGAATTCGGCCTTTGGAGGACCCGGCCCACCGTTTTGGACACAGCCTTTGAGCCCTTAGCTAGCCCTTAGCCAGACTTGCTACTTTGAGCTCTTAGCTAGCTGTTGCTAGGCCTTTGCTAGGTTTTTGAGACTTCAAGCAGAGCTGTTTTCTTTTAAGGCTTTAGTATTTAAGTTATTTGTGCAGATAAAAGTTTCAGTCACTGATTTGTTAGAACGTTGAGTCTCATGTTTTGTTAGGAGTTGTTTTTTTTATTTTTGAAGCAAATCAAACAAACATGCTGAGGCCTGACCTGAGGCTCCGCCCCAAGGTCTGTGATGGGCGTTTCTTTCTCGCTCTGAAGGAGAAGTGTAATAGTACAGAAAAAGATTTAAAAAATCTAACCATCAACTTCCTGTCAGACCTTCAGAATAAAATGTCTTGTGTCAGCCGTTTCATAACCGATTAATCTGCATGTTGATTTTTCCTAAACATGTAGTTTCATTTTGTTGATATTTGATGCTTGGGCGTTACTTTAAGCTGCTTTGGTAGAACAAGTCTGTTTGGCCTCTGGAGAAATTCAGCGAGCGTTTACATAACCAGCTTAATTAGCAGGAGGAGAGAAATGATGGTGTTTTTATGATGAGCGTAATGTGAGCAGGAGGAGTCATTGAATGGAGGACGATCGAGGGTCAAACTCTGCTGTGTAGCCCGGGAAACAGCGGTGTGTGTGTGTGTGTGTGTGTGTGTGTGTGTGTGTGTGTGTGTGTGTACTTGCCTCTCCTGCCGCCCCTGCCGCCCTGTTCAGGTGTGATACCCTCTGCACACGGGTCTTCCTTGAACCTGTCAAAAAAGTTGATAAAAAATATTAACTTTAATTAATTAATCTTAGCGAAGTGAATTTTTTTTTCTTTCTGTATAAACTAAACCCTGAAGCTGAGGTTTACAAGAGACGTTATTTTGTCAAAATGTTCAGCTCATCCAGGAGAAGGAAGCGATGACTTTTAGTTTTTGTAATTTTTAAAAATATTCTACTTTCTTTCAAGGTTCGACGAGATTTTTTTTCTGTACCCGCCCTGTCAGGTGACGAAAAATTTTACCTGCCCGACATGAAATGTTACCTGCCCGAAACAAAAATGTTCAAAATTTGAACAAATATAAGAAAAACGTCCTTTTGCTTCTTATCCTGATTTGCTACATTTAGCTAACCTTATCCTATATTAAGAATTTAGCTAACCTTTTCCTACTTTGAGCATTTAGCTAACCCTATGCTACTTTGAGCATTTAGCTAAAGTTTTCCTACTTTGAGCATTTACCTAACCTTATCCTACTTTGAGCATTTAGCTAACCTTATCCTACTTTGAGCATTTAGCTAACTTTTTGCTACTTTGAACACTTGGCTAGCCTTTTGCTGTTTAAGAGTTTAGCTAGCGTTTTGCTACTTTTAGCTCTTACAAATGATCTCTGCACATAAAGTACTTGATTGATTGTGAAATATAAAATTTAATTTTTTTGTTAAATGTTTTTCTTTTTAGTTAAATAAAAGTAAATGTTCGAACATAATGTGCCAGAATTAAAAACAAAGAAGAAGAAAGAAACGTCTCCTCACATGTTCTCGGTCTTCTGAGCGTCCCACTCCCGCCTCCACTGGCCCGTGGCGTTACGATGGCGTGCTAACCTCTCCTCGTCGATCTGCTCGCGCTCCTTCTTCCAGCGCAGGTACTCCGCCCTCTCCCGGCCCGTCATTGACATGGTCATGTCCACAGAACCTTTTGGACCGGGCCGTCGGCTCTGCGTGGCGCAACGGCGTTAAACACGGAACATTTAAGCTCTGTGACGAGCTGAGAGAGCTAAAGAAACTTACGGTCCACTCTCTCTCTACTTCATTTCCTGTCTTCACGTTGTCGAAGTCCAGCCCGCCCCAGTTCCGGACGTGCCTCCTGCTGCCCTCCTTTCGGTCTGAATCCGGCACAGGGCCGGAGCGCCTTGGATCATCCAGGAAGTTACGGATCGGCTTGTCTCCATCCGTCTGAAAACAGAACGATGAAATAAATGTGAAAATATTCGAAGCACAAACGTTTGTTAGAGTTTAAGATCAGAGGTTCTGATACCCGCTGTCCTCTCTCGTACTCCGCTATCCGCTCCATTTCCTCGTTCATCTTCTCGATGTTCTGTCGCCTCTTCTCCTCCCACTCCTGCTCGGAGACATTTTGATTGACAGCTGTAAATTTTACAACTAGATCAGTTTTAGCGAATCCTTGATTATTGTGTGACGTTTCACAATCATTCACACAACTGAGATTATTTTTTCTTCCGTACGTTTTTCAGCATCTAACTCGTTCCACAATTTTTGTGCTATTTCAACAATTCATACATCAAAACGTTCAGCTCATTCATGTGAGGGGTACTACGACTGTTAGTATTTCAGCTTTTTATAATTTTTTGGCTATTTCACTTTATTTAGCCACTTTTTTGCCTTTGAAAATGAATGGAGCCGTTTTCAACATCCTTAAAATAACAAAATATTTCTAGATCTTTACAGCACCTTACACATTTTGTTCTGGTTCTGCTGTTTTTCATGTTCTTGTGCTAATTTTAGCTACTTCTTGATAATTTTAGCTTTTTTCTGCTATTTCAGCTAAAATGCTGCTTCTTTCTGCTATTCTGCTTTCTTTTATTTTTTGTGCTTTTTTCTGATATTTTGTGCTATTTAGGCTTCTTAAAGATGCTTTCTGCTATATTCACCTATTTGCTGAAATTTTAGCTAATGTTTAGCTGCTATTAGCTAAAGTTTGATTAGTTTGATTTTCTAAGCTAAATACACATTTTTTGTAGCTAACTAACTTTTTTCAGCTAAGTTCAGCAAACTTGTGCTCATTATGCTAATTAAATAATTTCCAGTTTTTTAGCTGTTTTACTGAAAATTTCAACTGTCTTAGTAATTTTACTACAAATTATCACTTTCATGTAATTTAATGATTTTTCTTTTCTGTTTTAGCTATTTTTCAACTATAATTACTTCAACTGGGTGCTAATTTCAAATTGTGGCTGTGACCTTTAACTTATTTTATGATAATTTTAGCTATTTTATGCTACTTTAGCTATAGATCTACTTCTTTCTGCTATTCTTCCACTCTTTTCTACTTTTTATGATTTTGTTCTTGTTATTTTAGCTCTAAGCTTTTAGCTGTTTTTTTGTTTTCAACAAGATTTGTGTTCCTTTTTACTGTTTTTCTGCAAAGTTAGGCTTTGTTTTGTTTATTGTTTCTGTTTTGTTTGTTGTTGTTGTTTTTTTTAATGATTAATGAAATTTTATTTTACCAAAAATAAAGTTATTGATTGATTGATTTTTTTTTCTTCTTTCAGCTTTTCAAAGTGAGCTCACATTAACACTTTTGCTTTAAAATATTTTCAGCTCAGTTTCAGCATCAAGCATTCACACGAGCATTTTCACAGGAAATGCAATTTCTCTAGTTTAGTTTTACTTTTTTGTTAAAGGTTGATCATTTTAGTAAATTTACAACCTCACCTTGGACTTCCTGTCGGGTCCACCTGGTGTCCCTTCTCCTTCTCCTCCTTCTCCTCCTCCTCCTCCTCCTCCCACTCCCACTCCCACTCCCACTCCTCCTCTTCCTCCTCTCCTTCCTCCTCTGCGTCCCTGACCTCCTAATTCTCCAGACTCTCCCTCTCTGGGCGTTCTCGGCTCCCGGTTTCTCCTCTCTTGGCCTCCGCCCCTACTTCCTCCTCCTCCTCCTCCTCCTCCTCCTCCTCTTCCGCCTCCTCCTCTCTGGCCTCCCCGACCCACTCGTCCAGACCCCGTCCTCCTGGGGGTGCTGAGGTCGTCGCTCGGTCCTTTGGGGTCATCGTTCTCCTCTGAGGTCTTGTGTGCGCGAGGCGTGGTGGGCTTCCAGTCGTTCACAACTCGTTTCTCCTGAGAGAGAGAAATATATCTTATAAAAAAATATAAACATCTTTAAAAATGACAGTTTTATTACATTTATGTGCCCCTCTGGTAATGGCGGATCCTATGATCATTGAAGTTGCCCATCCCCGAGTTAAATCATAGGTTGGTTTGTTTACGTCTCGCCCAGAAGCAGAAAATAACACATTGAGCAGAAATGAAACCAGAGCATCAGGACCAGCTTAAACCGATCCCAGTGCCGGTTCTGCAGGACTTGTACATTTTTCAACATGTTGTCTAAAGGCCATTCTGCACCAGCAGCCGCTCTTACAACGTTAAGTCATCACAAACAGGTTTAATCAGCTCGGAAGCGGGTGAGCCAGAATCCACCAAATCAAATCTTTAAGCAGCAGAGGCAGAGCTGCGCTAACGGCTAAACGTGCCAAACAGGAAACATAAAAACTCATGTTTTTAATTCTAACGATGTAATGATTTCTCACTGAGAGCATCATGTAGAGAGAGACAGGTCATATCTAGGGGTGCAACAATCCATCTGTACGGAACAATACACACTATGTACGGAACAATACACACTACGTACGGAACAATACACACTACGTACGGAACAATACACACTACGTACGGAACAATACACACTACGTACGGAACAATACACACTACGTATGGAACAATACACACTACGTATGGAACAATACACACTACGTATGGAACAATACACACTA